TTCTGCACTCCTCAGCACAACTGTGAAGCCATGAATGACTCAGCTGAGATCAACACTCACGTGACAAAAATCCAGTGAAACTACAACTGAACTGCAGGCTGTTTACACAGAGTAGAGCACAACAGAGGTTGTGAGTAGAAGTTGTAAAAAAGTAAATTACAGCATAGCAAAATACAGGTTTTGAAAATGTGGTGGTACTTTGTGTCAAGTGTACGTACATAATGAGAAATGTAACTAGCTCAGGGAACCGTCCCTTTGCTCTCTGATAATGTGGCCCCCTGTAGGATGTAGTTAAATAGCCCAGGTGTGCTCGATTCCCACTGTATGGCTGTTTGGTTGTCTGAAAATTCAGATTTTGTTGCAGTTGAACAGGGCTTGGTGATAAAATTTTATTACATTATAGCGCTTAGACTAACAATTAAAATCAAGAACAATATCATAGATTAATCTATAGTGAATATGATTGTTTGTATAAAATGTCAGAAAAATAGTGAAATAATAAAAGAAATCTCTGTATTTTCACCAACAGTCCAAAACCAAAAGATATTGAAGGGCCCTGTTTAAGTGATTTACAGCATGTGGTCTAAAGTGCGTGGCACAAGTGCATTTAGGGTGTGTCCAACTCCACTTTGCTAGTTAACGGTGCATAATCTTGGCACATAGTAAGGCGCACAGGGCAAAGGGGTTGTATTTAACCCCTTAATTAACCATAGCTGTTATGGGTGTAATATGAATTCAACCAATCAGAGTCATCTCCCATTCTCCTTTAAACTGGTATTTACATGGTATTGATTCTGCAGACTGGAGAAGTGAGTGGTTTTCTGCTAAGAGTAATGCAGTAAGAAGAGTGATGTCACTGCAGCAAATATCCTGCAACATTTAAGCATCAGAACTAAAAACTGTATTTATAAACTTGACAGAGAAAACGGAACTAACCTTTTTATCCTCTGAAATAATCAGTGAAGTAGCGCTGGACCTCGTGTGTAAATGAAGGCAGCGACTTTCTTCCTCAGAAGCCTTGAACCAGGCAACCATTGTAATACCTTTTAATATAGACGACAGTCCCAAGAAAATCCCAAAATCATTTATATACCTGTCCCATGTAAATATTGGCTGGCATTACATATTTCACCTGATATATGAATATCAGAACGTGTGAATTGCAGCTTCAATCAAGCTAAAAATATGTGGCAAAGTTTAAGATTTACCCGAGGAGTCTGAGGTTTTAGTTGGCTGGTTAAAAGTGACCATAACAACTAATTTTATATGGTCAAGCTGTCAAAATCCTGAGCTGCAGGTTTTAACTGACTGCAAGTCGGGGAAGTGTCCGTTGTTCCCAGCTATGTTTAGGATGGCATGTGATGTTAACTAATCTGGTTACATTTGCACAGGATGGCCCAGGTCCTACTGTATGCAGTCTAAAACTTAGTCTGTTGGTGTTTACAACCTTCAGATCAGATGTTGAACTATACTGGAAAACATATATGGATCCTATGTTTCTCTTATATCTCAGGCTGAAAGAGCTAACGTCTACTGCTGTAGTTAATGTTAAATGTGTCTTATTGGTTCAATCCTACAGGTCTTCTTCATGGCTGGAACATAAACATTGACAGCAGAGGTAACCAAACAAAACGGCCTGATATGAATAATCAGTTTGGCCCAATGATTATCAGATTATAAAATCAACATGAATTTGTATGAAAAACTAATACTCAAACAAACAAATTTGATAATCAGCTTAAGATGCACCGTTGCTTATGATTCATGCAGATTTTTGACTTTGATTGTCAAAGCTTGATTTCTGTCCTTCACACTCATAACATGATGAAACTAGATCATATATTGCTAACCTGAAGAGTGTATCTGAGTGTTGCCCTGCTTCATATTCACAGTAGGAGCTGTTCAATGCACTCAGAGCTGTCTCTTGTCTACTTTTGGTCATCTAGTGCCTTGCTGAAGAGCACTTCGCCAGTTCATGGCACTCACCTTTCCCTGTCCTGTATTTTCCCAGTGACTTACAGGATTAAGCCTCTGGGAAAGTTAAATACCTCTTTGTGTTTTAGAGACACGAACATGGATGTAACAGGAATTATAATGTTGACATGGATTCAGTAAGTTACACTGCAGGCTACAACTCAGGGCAAAGGTTTGGCCTATATTCAGTTACAGTTAAGCAAATTGGCACCAATAAAAGTATGCTGAATTACCTATTGGCAGCTCGTGCCTGCAGTTTACACATGGATGTACAGACAACTGTCACTGTGATGTTGAAGAAAACTTAAAAACATGAAGATTTTCAAGGAAGTACTTAGCATCTTTCTTTTTGGTATGATTTCTGAGTGGATTTATAATGTTAATTTATAATGGACATGGATATAATGATATCCACTGAAAGCGTAAATCACACTGAACCTAAAATATGTGTGTCATATCTGTGTGTTCATATTTGACTGAGTTATGACATGGAGGTGCCATTACACCTGTGTAGTCTCAGCCCTGCCCACCAGAATTAAACCAATACTGTGGGCTCTTACTGCACACTCGAGGGAAGACGTCTAACCCATTACAAGGGTGTTAGCCACTTGTTGTAATCTGAAACTTCTCATTGTCAACCTGACATCAGTTCTCCATAATGTACTGCTGGTACCTCCAGTACTCTGATATAAACCTGGTTTACTGAAGGTTTCTCAGGTGGGAATGTTTGTAACAGAGCTTAGCTCTGTTTTGCTTTTGACTTAATGGGCTCAGAAATGGGAGTTTAGGACTTTTTGATCTGAGCTAAGGACTCTTTAATCTGGGCACAATGCACTGTTGAAGTGTTCTCTTGGTGGCCTTTCTTTGTGGTTTGGACTGATAGCTCGCTGGATGTTGGATTATCTTGATATCATGATATTTGACGTTATTTTTCCAAGGCTTATGAACTACTGAGAATTTCATGTATCCTTTGTACTATTAATAATCATTTTTGTTTTGATTTTACACCAGCTGGCACTCAAACTGCAACAGGTTGTGTTGAAAATATAACTATAATTTCCTAAAATCTGTTTGCACATAAGTCTGGGAAGAAAACGTTTTGTGTAGTTTAAGAATTTTGCTTCAGTTTTCATCCATTACATAAAGTTGAAGTATTATTAGTCGTAGTTTATTCATTAGCCTTTTTTTATCTTTCACTTTGGACTACTTGGATTTTTTTGAGTGTCCCATGCAGTTTTGTTGATTTGGTTAAAGAAAGCATTCCTGTTTTCAGTTTCCCTTAATTTGATTCAGTTTAATTCACTTTCACAAACCATCTGTGTTTTGGCTGAGCTCACAGAGCACAGAATGAAGTTTCTTATCTTTCTTTGGCAGCACCACAGATCAAATCACTGAAGTCATGTTGACGTGTCAAAAGTGCTGTGTTAATTACAGAACTACTGAAGCTTTGAAAGTATATCACTGTATTTGGATCGTATTCCTTACATTTCTGTTCAGTAATGTGTTTTGTGTGCAGATGAATCACCCGTGTTGCCCTCCTGTTGCTCACTTCTGTGAAATCTGAGGATTAAGAACAACTTAGCGTAATCACTTCCTCCTGATCAGAGGGAAATTCTTTCCATTCTTGTGTCTCATCACGACAGCTGTCCTCTTTTGTGTGCTTTCAGCCTCCTTTATCATTCTTCACAGCAAACTGTCATGTGCTGCTATGACACTGACGTTCACTGTGTTCTGCCCTCCCCTCACTGCCAGATAAAGCCTTTAACAAATATTCAAATACAACAGAGAACTTGTTGAGTTAGCATTGTAAACATACAGTATCTCTTTCAGCATCCTATGAATGTTATGCTCTTTAAAAAGCATTAAGGTTTGATACCCAGCCTTAGTTATGTAGCCAGTGTTTTATGGAGAGCATTTTAAAATTAGGTGAAGAGTATCCTGCAGGGACTCATGTGTCCCCCTTTGGTTTTTTTCTTAACTACACACAGAAGCAGTAATTAAGACATCCCAGCTGAGAATTACTGACATGTACCATTATGTTAGTTTGGGGATGTGGTTTCCACATTAGGCAAGATTGAGTGGATGCCGTTTGTATGACACACACTCTGCTAGATGCGTACCCTACACTGTAACCTACAGCATAGCCTGACGTGCACCTCCCCAGAAATGTAACTTCAAATCTTGGTGATGCAGACTTATTTTTGTTTGCTATTAATTTTTGCGCGTCCTTGAATGCAACACAGACAGAGCTCTGCTAGCTGCAAGGGTAATTTATGCAAGTAAGCCATAGGCTCATTCTAATAATGTTAGCATGTTGTATATGCGGGGAAAATGTGTCTGGTATAAGACAAGTATTTTGTCTGTGAACATTGTGTCTTACAGTGGAGCCAAATTTTGTACTTGTGTTTGATATTGTCTTTATTAAAATTTGTTTTATGTGTGAGCCAACTCGAATTTTAGAGGTGTAATTGCAGAGTGGTAGACACACCACCGCACAAGAATAAATGCTCATACCGGTGTAGGCTACAGCGTAGACTCTGTGTGGAGCAGTGGTTCTTAACTGGTTCAGCCACAGGGTCCTGACTTCTCCTTAGTCATTAATTAATTAGTCATTAATTGTTGAATAGTTGAATATAATCACAGTCATACTTGCGTTTGGCCATGTTGTCAAGCTAGTTTGCTGTCTCTGTTAAGTAGCTGTCCACTTGTCACTGGCTCTACAGCAGGACACAGCACTTCAAAATGAAAGCTCTGTGCCGGTAATGCACTGTACTTCAAAATAAAGTGTGGTTTTTTTTTTTTACAAACTTGACACAGTTGCGGTCCATTCAGAATGGACCTGCGACCCACCAGTTGGGAACCACTGATGTAGAGTCTACGCACAACTTTAAATCAGCCTTCAGACTTTGTACAAACCTCAAACCCCATCCCTTTGTAATGGAGATGCTATCTGTCACTTCCCCTGGTCTTTCTCTTCTGGGCTGACTAAACTCACTTTCTGCTGCTTTCTATTGTTTCCTCCACAGATGTACCTTCTCCTTCTAAAGCTCAGCCTCATCCTCTGATGCAATTCCCTACAGGCAAGTTCTCTCTGCTCGCTGTGTTTCCCCATGTCCTCCTTTATTTTCTTTCACCACTTCTTAAGTTCTTTCCCCCTCCGTTTGTCATTTGAAGTGGCAAAAATAACCCTCTGCATGTAAGAAGCCGTAGATATTTGTTGCCTATAATAGCATTTACATAGGATGCTTGTGGGTTTGTATCTTTAAACACTAAACTGGATGTCTGACTTTGCTTGTGTTGCATTGTGACTCACATGTGATTGTTGTTGTAGAATAGATTGACATGAACTTACACAAGTAGTATAGTAGGAATAATGATTCTCCTCAGAGATTGACAGAAACACTAATTTTTATACCTAACAATATTTAATGAACGTTCTTTGAGAGGAATCATTATCTACCATCACTTAACAGTTTGTGTCTGTAAGATGGATTGGGCATGGTTTATTGGCGCCAGACCTGGGGCAAAAACATAATTTACCACCATGCATCAAACCAGGGTGGTAAATACAGACCACCAGACAAATGCTGCCAAATCCTGACTGTGGAAGGTAGTCTTCTCTCCCAAACCACACTGGAAACCAGATATTTTTGTCCTGTTTGATTCTAAAAAACACAGCTGATTGTTCAGGCTGTGGGTTGACTACAAATTAGTTTCCTTCCCTACTCGAGTTGCGCCTACACTCAAAAGATATTTCTTTGTCTTTATAGGGTCTTATTTTGCAGGTTTGGCTTTTACATTTTCCTCTTGATTGCTAAGAACTGAAGGTGGGGCAACATTACTTTAGCAACATGAAGTAGGACAAGCAACAACTGGACATCAAACATATTTCGAGAGAGTATAGTCTTTACACTCTATCCATCAAAAACTTTTGCAGAGCCACTTCAGGGTTTCCTTCAGTGTTTTATAGTGGAGGTGGGCCACCTCTCCTGCTGAAACAAAGACCATCTCCACTAACATCATAAAAGTAATTCACTTTTATGAAATCATCAGGGAACATGAGCAGATGCAGTGATCTTCGTTTAGTTGGTCATCTACTAACTAAACTGAAGATGAGGTGAGATGCATCAAGACCTGGGTGGCTTGCCACCACAGGAGATGATTGTCTGAGGCAAACCCTGCACTGGTTTCTTCAGTTTTGACCAAATAAACCAAATAACACCAGTAACAATGAAGGAACACATAAAATGAGACCATGAATCTTTTGCGTGTCATTTTAATATTTCACAAATCTGAGGAAGATTCAAAACAGTTATTATCAACATAATTTCAATTAACAATCAATAGATGAATAATTCTGGCAAGCTTGTAAAACTCTTTGTACACATGATTTAAAACATTCTAAGTTTTTTAGCTGACAGTGTAAACCTAACAGTTAACAGAAAAATCAGCCAGAACGGGTCAGTCATTTACCAAGTGGTGTGTGAACTGTCTACCAGCCCCAGCCAACCTTTTAGCAGCACTTGTCTGGTCTTATCTTCTTTTAAATGTGTATAGTAACTGTTCTACCCAGGTGTGGTGGGCACTGTAAGGAATGGAGTATGTCTTTGATATGTGCTGTATTGCATTCTCCCTCCTCCCTCTCTACTCAAGCACTTGGGCAGAAGGGTGATTCCCCTGCTCCCATCTCTCCTATCTCCCCTCTTCACTCCCCTGACTCTCTGGAGGAGCTCTCTCTGACCGAGAGTCCCAACCAGCCCCCTACTTCAGGATTCGCTGCATCCTTGGGCTCCTTCTCCACTGAACCCCCCACTACTCATTCCAAGGACATGCCTTGGGTGGGTGAAGAGGGTGACTCTGGACCGGGCCGTAGTAAGATTAAGGAAGACCTTCTAGATCCGTTAGCTGGTCCATACCTGAGTTTAGGGAAAGACCCAGGGCCTCATAACCCGTGTGAAGACAGCGGAATTTCCTTTTCACCTGAGGAGAAGATGATTAGCTCAGACAGGTCCTCCACTGGCCCCTCCCCCGTGAATCCCCAGATGAAGGTCCCTGAGTCTCACCTTGCCTCCTCTAACCCAACAGAGCACTGGGATTCACCATTCCTATCATCTCAAGACAACTCCAAGGTCTCCATGGATACCTTCTCCAAGGACACAGCGCCCCTTAGCTCTTCCAGGTATGAGCAAGACCTGCACGACAACCAGTCTGATGAAGACGATGACCTGATGTATGAGGTGAAGAAGAATAATAACCCATTTGAAGGCTATTCCCCACTGGCGGACAGTGGCTACTCCCATTTTGGAGACTCCAAGTCCGACAGCAGGGCCTCAAAAATGTCAGAGTCCCCCACTCCCGATCTGGTCCAGTATGGCCAGACTGGAGAATCCCAGGATACCCCACCATCTTTCTTAGACGAGGGGAAAACATTTGAGACGGGCAAGATGGCGGCCGACTCGCTCATGCAGTCAGCGAATCAGTTCTCATCTGGTCTGAAAGACGATGATGAAGAGGAAGAAGAGGATTCTGCTTTGCCACCATCGCTTCCGGACATCCTGAAGTCTTCCCCTCTCAACCCCGACAAACTGGACTCCGGCTCCTCAGAGGGAAGCCCGGAGGAGCAGAGTCCCATCCTTGAACGGAGGATGATGGAGTCACCCAACCCTCCAATCAATCTGTCAGCTAACAACCCGTTTGCCTTTGATGCTAAAGTGTCACTCCTGAAAGAGATGACTGAGGAGATGGAAGTGAGAGCGGCCGACAAAGCAAAAGTGGAAGACGACAAGAGCTTTGGCGCCTTCGATCTTGTCAAAGAGGCAGAGGAAACCACCCCCACCAAGGTCAAAGAAGAGGAACCAGTCAAGATCGAGCAGAAAGATTGGTTTTCAAGCCACGATTCTCCCAAAATGACCGAAAAGTTTGAGCCCCTTGACTTCCAGAGCAAAAAGACCCCCGCTGAGGATTCAGATTCAGAGTCGCCAACAGCAGACTCCCTGTCCCCGGTCCTAGAAGCAATGGCCAAGAACCCCGCCAGCTTCCAGGTGGAAACTGAGAAGATGGACCAGAAAATGGAGGTGGAGGAACCAGAAGTAGCTGAGGAGGTCTCCGAGCATGAAGTCTCCTCTGAGGAGTTTGAGTTCATTGAGCGACCACCCAGAGGAGTCATTGATGAGTTTCTTGAGGCTCTGGATACTTCCAAGTTTGCCTCCTCCAAGCCCCCAGAGATCCCCATGGATGATGATCTAAGCTTTGGGCAGAAAGATGTGGCTCCAGTTTCTGCTCCACCTGCAACAAAAGTAGCTCCACCTCCCCAGGTCGAAGAGGAGGCTCCAAGCCAGAGCTCCTACCGCCTCCTCACCCAAGCCTCCCCCCAGAAGAGCAAAGCCGAGCTGGAGAAGCTCGACATTCAGCAGCCTCCAACCCAAGCTCCCCTCACCCACTCCCCTGTCGGCAAACCAGAGGAGGTGGTCGCTAAGAAGAGCGTGGAGGGCGACAAAGGGTTTAAGCTGCCAAACGTGAACATAAAAGCAGGTAAAAAAAATCAGTCCCGGCATGGAAACCACACTCCCACATCCTCCTCAGTTTTCACTGGCACTTCCATGTTCATCGACGTAATATTCATCTTCACGCTTTTGTTCTCCTCAGTTATTTCCTACCAACCAACCAACCAACCAACCAGCAGCCAGTATTTTACTGTAGATCCCATCTCTTTCCCCTTAGCATCTCCTTTCCTTTCTTGCATTGTCCATTTTTTTTTTTTTTTTTTGCATTTTCTTTGAACATTAACCCTCGCATTTCTCTGGTATAACTTGTGTGGTTGTGTGATTCGACCTCTTTGCTTTTGTTGCATTTTGTGCATTTCTTTCTCATCAGAATAACCTCATTTCTGTGTACGTGATCATTTTAGTTTTGCTTTTTTACATTTTAAGATGTGGTAAGTACTACGTCATAATGGTCATTTTTATTTCTGTTCTTTTTGAAACATGATCCCCCTTTGATTGTCTTTTTTAAATCCACTGAAAAAAGATGCTTAATATTAACGTACTTTATGTATGATGAGCAGAAATGAGAAATCGTGGGATACAGACAGGCGTTACCAACCACAAACACTTATACAGCCATTTTTTCTCCTTGTCGAATTACTTCTCTGCCTGCTTTTAGCTTCTCTCGGCTCTGGAAATAACTCGAGATGCCAATCTGAAACCCAACACCACCTTATAGACCCCAGCAACCACTTACAACTGCATATACACTCATACACCCAGAGCTACTAACCACACCCAGTTACTGGTTCTGATTTATTATGTGGTTCATAATCTCTCCCACACCCTGTAATAACTGATTGCATCAGATTTTATGCACCTGAGGCTAAAAACTGAAGATCAACCTCTGTGCCAAATACCTTGAGCTGTAATGACTTTAGAGGTTGTTGAACTTTCTTTTCAGCAGCCACTCTAACCTAAACGAGTTATTTTGCCAGATGTCTTTTTAAAACTGGTTAATTCTAATAATAAATGACAGATTAAGGTTTCTGATCAAGTGCACACTATACTCAGGTGCCTTAGATCACAAGTAGCGTTCACATAAAAGCCAGACTTGAAATTAATTAATTAAAAAAAAAGCAATGGTAGAAAGCTCAAATGGTGTTCTTGATGCACCAGTGAATTCTGTCCACATGAGAGGAAATGAGTTTCTTGGGAAAGTCACACTGCTTAAGTACAAAAAAAATGTAAAACCCAATCAAGAAGTAATTTAAGATGTTTAATCAAAAAAAGACACAAATAGCACAAACTGAATATCTTCAGGTTTTGAACTGAGGATGTCAATGGTTGCCTAGTAATTGTTTAACCACCCAGAATATTTTTGACCAGTTATGCGTGTGGGTTTATGTTGCCACTCTTAAGTTTAGTGGTAGTGCTAGCAATGTGCTGTACCACATTAAGAATAAAGCTAATAAGATATTCATGCTACAATAGTTAACTAACCTTGGCTGCTCTGCTCTTCACACCACCCAGGTTGGGTGGGAGCTAGCAAGTGGCGCTGCTCATGTGGTTGTCACTGCTGGTAACACAGTCCCAGCCCATACTGGTAGGATGACTTTGCGGCGTAAACACAGTGCCCACTCTCCAGTCTTCCTATGGTCAACTTGGTAAGTAAGCAACTTCATTTTGATTTGCAAAACCCCTTTAGCATAGTTAGCTTGATTATCACTGATAGCAGCATCAGCATGGCTAGTGGTGCTAACAATGCTAAAGGGCTTTTTCAGCTCAAAATGAAGCTGTATTCTCACTGGAGCCATCATGGGTCAGGATGGCATTACCAGCCGTAATCAACAAATGAGCAGGGCCACTAGCTAACTCCCACCTGGTGCTCAGTGCAGAACGGTCAAGGGTAGCTAACCACAGACTGGAGGGTTGAGAGTGGGCATGATATTTTCACACTTTAACGTGGCTAACTGTTTATCAGCACAGCCAACAAAAAATAAAATGAAGGTCAAGACATCTACATCGCAAAACATAAAAATTTCACCATCACTAAATAGATAGCGCTTCAAAATTCAGTGCTAAAACTAAGTGAGTCGATAGAGCACAGGACTAAAAGGAAAGCACCTCTCGTTTTTCATGTTATATTGTGCTTTTTCTTAAGTGACCCATTTAGTTACCTGTTAATTGGTGTCAGGCTTTTGTAAACAAAATAATTTGAAACTGACATCACTATTTTGGTCTATTTGTTGGACAAAATTAAAAGACATCCTGTTGGGCTCTCAGAACCTGTATTGAGCAGTGTCCTCATTTGTTTTCTAAAGAATCATTCAGTAATTGTCAGTCGCAGCTCTGAGGAGGATCGGTTTGGGTTGTCTGGGAGGGCTATGTCCTCTATTGTGGACATAATTCATGTAATTGATAGAAAGAGGCCATTTGGTGCTACCACACCTCCTTCTCTTCATCCAGGGCAAGTTTAAAATCTTCCCTTGTTGATATGTAAACCTCAGTGTTTGTAGTAGATCTTTATTGCACCCTGAGGAGACAGTTTGTCAGACAGATGCAGAGATCTTCAGGGCTTTTAGAAAGCACTGAATGGCCCCTGAGGCTCTGCTGCGTCTCTAAAGACAACAAGCGCTAAGTCTTCATTTTAATGGATGACTCAGTTTTATTTAAACTGATATTGATCAGTTAATATACACACAGTCGTATTAATGCCATCCACAGTGTTGCAGACAGCTACTGTGTAACTGGAGCAGTAGGACTTTGCTCTTTGGGACGAGCTGCCGACGCTTTAACTGTGTCTGTGTGTGTTGGAGGGATCTCCTGTTAATTAAAGCCTCCTCCTCCTCCCTGCATTGCGACACTGGCAGGCCCACAAAGGGTTCTCCGACCCAGAAACCACTCAGCAAATGTTCTTCATTATACAACTTGAGGTGCAGGGCTGCGACGTGAACATTAATCTCCTTTCATGCTGAGAGCAGCTCGCTTCATTTCAGACTTTTTCTCTGCCAATCTGAAGAAGATTTACTGATACTGATACCAGAATTATACTTGTTTTTAAACCGTTCTTCATTCCTCAGTTGTTTTATGTCTTAAAGTTTATTATTAGTGCTGCAAGTGATCTTTGTTTTACTTTATCATTTGTAATTAAGTTTCCCAGAGCTTTTATTTTCAGTCTAAACAGTCTAAAACCCAACGAGACTCAGTTTACAGTGACATGAAACAGAACATGTCAACAAAGATTTGCTGATATTGCAGTAATCAGCACCTAATGTTAAGTGTGCATGCACCAGACAACTCGTGCCATAATTAACTCACTGTTTACTTAGTCGCTAATGGTTCCCGTTGTAGATTAAGCCTCAAAAGAAATATGGAAAGTCCATCACACATTAACCACAGTGATACTTCAACATTTTTACTTGATGAATGATTAATTTTGTTTTTGATTTATTAATTTGCCATTTGTTTTAACAACGTACTTTAGACCGTAACATTGACCCCAACAATGGGATGAATTTTTAATTAATAAATAGAGCAGCGTGTTGAACAAATCACTGGAAATTTAATGTCTGAGCACATCCTGAAACTGCAGAGAGCTGATTTAGAGCAGGCTCCTCCAACTATGTAAATAATAATATGCCTGATATCTCTCTCACTGTTAGTTAATCAGCTATTTAAGGTGAAGTGGTTGCACTTCAAAATCAATATTCCCTTATCATGTGTTTAAATGACTTCATTAATATGCAGTTTGATGTTTTGAATTTTGGGCAGTTGAGACATGTCACATAGCTTCTGCTTTAATGAAAGCTTTACATTCACTTTCAAAGGGAAAACCATGATGAATTAATCAATAATAAATCAAACCGTAGTCTAACTCTAGCTTTATGATGTGTACAATGACTCGTGTGTGTCATCAGCAATGCAGAGCATAGTTATCAAGGTGAAGAGTTATGTAGGCTCTCTGAGGACACAGCAGCACAAACTTTGTACTTCTCTTTTTATGCAAACGTCTATTTCACCACCAAAATTCACCCTCTGCAGCTTTGTGTGGAGCAGGGCACCAGATAAGAGAGCCAGGAGGTCAGATGGACACTCTGTCGCCATCCTGAAATATCCCCTTTAAAGTGACAGTAACTTTTCTGAAAATAAAGTTTGTGTCGTATTTGCTGAAACTGTCAGTATATTCTGAGAGAAGTACATGAGAGCATGTCCCTCTTCCTCTTTCTACTGCCTCCTATGTCATTTAATAGAATCTACCATGGCTGAAAGACAGTAGTCTATAACACAACTGTCAGTCATGTCAATCACTGCTTGTGATATAAATCCATACTGTATGCGTACATCAGGTGTCAATGTTTGTCACTGATACAGAGGCACGTATACAGAGCAAAAGGAAAAATAGATGAATAAAAACCAAAAATAACAAGGGAAAACTATGAGCAGTTTGGCAGTGGGGCTCTCCTGTGATTAGCCATTTCAGCTCGATTGTTTCTAACATGGTGGCTGGATCACAAACTTTCTCATTTTAAATCTGAACAGTGCACTAAAGTATGTTTCTGAAAACATTTGAGGTGAGAAATAGGCAATGCATTAACAGAATCTTGATTCATATTTGATCAGCACTGCCTAGTTTGACAGTTTGACCACAGTTCAGAGTGATTGACATGATTGACAGCTGCGTGAGAGACTCCTCTGCTCTTATTGGTTGCTTTTGTTAATGTTTGGTAAGTGTGTGAATGTAGTGACAGTTTCAGCATATATGATGAAATGTTGGTTACATTAAGTGTGCTGAGCTCCAATCTCTAACTTTTTTTAAATTAAATGTGCTCTTGTTTGTGGACCTGTCCTCTAGATGAAGGATATTCACAGATAACTGATGCATTTTCTGTCTTCCTGTCAATGTTTTGTGTCACAGTTAAATGACCTTAATGAGTAAGGGCCTTTGAAGAAGAGGGGAGGCAGAGGGGTTTATATAATGAGACAGGTGCCCTCTAGTGGAGGAATTCAGTGAGTACAACCTAGATGATGAACTGCTGATGACCACTT